ACTTTTTTTTAAAAATCAAAAAAAGGCTATTTTTTCTTGAAATAATTACATTTTAAAAATTAGAATTTTTGCAGAGCAGCAACATCAAACTTTTTCAATTATTCTTCATCTCAAAATGTGTCAAAATTCTAACTTACCAAGTCGAAGTGGAACTCTTTCATGACGCAAAGAACCCTTTAATCACGCAACGGGTTCTTTGAATATTCACGGTTCTATACAGAACCATTTCTGTGCTAAAGAACCCTTGAAGAATCATTTTTAAGAATGTAGACCAAGTGCCTCATTCATCAATATCTCCTCAAGTTTGTTTGTGTACTAAAGAACCCTTGAAGAATCATTTTTAAGAACGTAGACAATGGGCCTCGTTCTCCAGTATCTTCCTAAGTCTGTTCTTAAGTGTGTTCTTGATAAAAAATCTTAGAAAAAGTCTCTGTCAGATTAATGATGTGTTAAAGCGCAGAACTGTTCTCCCCTTTGTGCTCTTGAGTGTGTGTAGATTCTGTTCTTACCTAAGATAAGAGAACATTGGTGAGTCAGAATCTTCGTAGACATTTCCCAGTGCCCAGTGTTTTCTGATCATAGGTTTTTGGTTTATACATTTCATCTTTAGATATGTTTAGTAAAAATCTTGATTATAAATAAATATAAAAAGACTTAGTATGGTGAAAATGACCATTTCAACCTATCAGATTCATGTTTTCCCCTCATAGGGCTTCTTTCTTTTTAAGAATGTGCCTAACAGTTAGTCTGGCCACACCTAATGTTGCCTGTGTGATCTCTCTGATGGGCTTGATTTTCCGGCGTAATTTGGCAGTGAAGCTCTTTGGACTACAGGATGAGATAATGGGCTCATCTGCTGCTGCACAGTTTGTGTCAGTCATCCTACATCAGGGGTCACAGGACGCTGCCCACAGGACGCTGTTGGCTGGATGTTTTTGGTTCTCAGTCCAGCAGCGACACTGAGGTGTTTAAAAACTCTAGCAGCACTGCTGTGTCTGATCCACTCAGACCAGCGCAACACACACTGACACACCACCACCACGTCATTGTTACTGCAGTGCTGAGAATGATCCACCACCCAAATAGTACCTGCTCTGTGAGGGTCCATGGGGGTCCAGACCACTGAAGAACAGGGTAACAAAGTATCAGAGAAACAGATGGACTACAGTCTGTAACTGTAGAACTACAGAGTGAAACTATACGGTCAGTGGAGCTGATAAAGTGGACAGTGCTGCTCTAAAGGTTTGGCTTGCACATCCCAAAAATGCTCTGACATGTTAGACAGGAAGGTCTGTCTGAATATGTGTCCCTACACAGGGAGCCATTTGAGAACGAGCCTCAGCCCGACAGAGTTCTCCTTTAACCCTGAGCTCAGAACGCTGCATGTTAATAAGGCTATTGTGCCGACACACTGATAAGCCAGATTTTCCTGGATTTTCCTTTATAGTTTTCCCCTGATATCAAACAGGAATGTAAGATGTGAAGGGGAGGGGCTTTATCAGCCCAACTCTTTCCTTCCGCCTTCTGGCAAAAACATTCTTCTCAAATCTCACTTTCCTGCAGCAGCTCAACCCCAGACAGGCCACAGATCAATATCAATAAACTTTTAATAAATAGTTCACCATTAGTTTCCCATATTTACAACACGTCCACTATTCGCATATATTATCATTTTTAGAACACTTTTTTTTTTAGGCACAAATAAATTGGCTTTTTCTGAGTCCACAGACCAGATCTCTTTGTAAAATTAGTGGCTGGGAATAACAGTTTCAACAGCTGTGTGACGATACAAAAAGACAGAAAACAAAACAAAACCAAACAAGAGAAGAAGAAGAAGAAGAAGAAGAAGACGACGAAGAAGATCCACCCTGTTTTTCCACCACGTCCTCCTGTAAAAACACCACTTAAAACATACAACATGCGTTCTTTCCTGCGTTCCACGCAGACGCAGTCTTTTGGTCACCTCCGTGACGGGGCTGCGTTCACAAGACACTTCGATATCGGTCGAGAAAACGTGTTGATATGCGCTGCTGGTGTGTTTGTGGGCGGAGATCGAGGTGGGCATAAAAGCCTGTAAGCAAAAACTGCCGCTTTCATAAAACGAGGCAATAAAATTTTTTCAGAATGTAACAACAACGCTGAGGTGTTCCTGCGGGAATATCCAATTTAGGGGCTGCGGCAAAGCATTTCACGGGTAGGTATTCTTGTAAATTTATGACTTATAGAACAGTAATTACCTGATCTACTGATACTACACCACTTCATAAGTATGGATGTAGCTATCTGAATGTCTCCAAAATTATTCAAATTTGTACTGCTGACTTCAGGTATCTAATGAGGCGTGTGTAGTTTGGAATAAAAATAAATAAATAAATACATTTTGCATTGTCTCATCATTTTTACATAGGATACTAAACACACCTGGGGTAAGAGCGCAGCTGTTTTTTTTGTTTTTTTTTTAACTAAGTTTGTTTAACTCTTGACCAGCTCGGCAGACAGCTGAGCTCCATCAATAACACTGAAAGGCTTTAAACGGAACAGTTTTCCAAAGAATTGACTGCAAAACAAAGTAAAGAATGTTACATGTTGGTCTTACGTAAACGAGGACATTTCAAGCTGGTCTGCTGCTGTAAATCCAACATGGAGAAGTTAGAGTACACCTCAGTTAGCCTGGAGCTCATGCTATTATGCTGATTCCTGTAGAGACACTAGCAAAAATTAGCACTATTGTAACGTCAGAAATCAAATAAAACAAAAACCTCTTCAAAAGAAAAGTGAGATATTATGACAAATTAGATGTTGTGCTCTGTAGAAAAAAAGCATTCGATTCTGATCCGTATATTAAAGGAAACGATGATAAAAACGGGTGAAAGTCAATGCAAGACAGGCAGGAGCATGTGTGGCTGGAGTGGCTTCAGTAGTACCACCATCCATCCATCCATCCATCCATCCATCCAATCTACCGACCCATCCATCCATCCATCCATCCAGCCATCCATCCATCCATCCATCCATCCAATCTACCTACCCATCCATCCATCCATCCATCCATCCAGCCATCCAATCTACCTACCCATCCATCCATCCATCCATCCAGCCATCCAATCTACCTACCCATCCATCCATCCATCCATCCAGCCATCCAATCTACCTACCCATCCATCCATCCAATCTACCTACCCATCCATCCATCCATCCATCCATCCATCCATCCATCCATCCAATCTACCTACCCATCCATCCATCCATCCGGATATGAAAGAGATTTATAAAGAACCTTTTGCATGATTAATTAAAAGGGATCTAGATAGCACCCAAAAGGGTTATTCTATTGTTACAAGCTTGACATCATAACAACAGAAGAACCCTTTTGGGTGCTATATAGAAATGTATACAGCTAATTTTTCATCCAGTCTGCAGAACCATTTCATTTTATCATGCAAAAGGTTCTTTGAGTGTTTACTTGTGTTTTTCTTTACTAAAGAACCGTTGAACCACCATCTTTTTTGTACACACACGCGCGCGCACACAGTCCATCAAGCGTCGCTTTCACCGAAATCAATGGCGAGAGATGCGTTTTTGACAGATACCGAAATGTCTTTGTGAACGCTGCCATTTCTGATGTGTTAAGAGGAACACAAGTGACATAAAACTCTGTCTCCCAGCTGGTTTGGACTGTAAGATGATCCATGTCAGAGTTAAAAATGATATGTTTAACTCCTTGAAATACAGTTAAGAAGGAAACAAACAAACAAACAAAAAACACACACATCAAAGCAGACTTGCACACACATTCACAGGTATGGCACCTTAACCAAAACAACCCCATGAGTGAGAAGCTGATTAAACATCCCCGAAAAAAATCAATAAAGGTGATTCCAATGCACTTGAGGCTTGTTGAGGGAAGTCAATTGAGCGAATTTTCACATCACCAACCACTGAGAAGTCTGGAAGCCTAAAAAACGACACTCGGTTCCTCAGTCTAACTCCTTACGGCACGTTTTGCAGCCTAATAAAAACACCACAGAGCAACGCAACCTTCTAAAAAGCTCCTAGAGCAGCGGCAGCAGCAGCACATGATCAGTTCACTCAGTACAGTGACACAAACCCAATTTAGACGTCAGTGCTGAGGATAAGACCAAAACTACGGCTCGGCTAAGATTTATAGTCCTGACTGAGGCAGCGTGGATGTTACAGAACACAGAGGTGAGGCGGACGACAAAGTAATTATAATTCATTAAAAAAACAAAAAAAAAAACAAAAAACAAAAAAACCCACAAAAAACGATGAGATTTGAATGTTCGCGTGCTCCGATAGGAGCAATAAACACCACTACGGAACCCACTCGGAGCAAAGTCGTCATCCGGGTCTTGTAATAGCTTTAAAAAGTCACTTAAAAGGCAACTTTTTTAATCCCTCTAAATAATAATAACAACAATAAAAACAAAACTTTTGACACCTATTCTCGAAAAGAAATGAGAGAAATGAAGATATTCCTCTGTAACATAATGCACAACAGTCATTTCCACAAGCTTGTTAGCACTGGGGAGAAAATATGGTCAATCAATCTTTCTAAGAAGCACGACACGGCGTCAGTAAGTGGTTTTGTTAACTCCAGGCAGGTTCGCTCAGTATAAAAACGCTTTCCTGGCTGAGAGAAAAGCCACCTCGACTTCTCTCTCATCATACAGTATAAAAGTAAAGACAGAATGCGTCCAAATCTGCCGCATCGGCACGACGAGGCACGCCGGCCCACAGCTGTAGGCCGTCTGCACCTCAGATCACATCGAATTTTACTGGAAAACGTGGAAAGATACGAGGGGAAAGAAAAACATTCACAACTTAGCAAAGCGCGAGAAAAACGTTCAGTCCTCCTCGGTGGAGCGTGTTCGTCTGTGCCTGCATTTTCCATAATGCAATGTAAGCATCTCCCACACCCGTTCACCCCACCAAGATCTCCGGACGTGGAAAAAGAGAGCGAGAAAAAAGGGGGGAAAAAAAGAAAAAACCAACCCTATACAACTTAGAAATAACCTTCAAACAGTCCTCATCACTGTTCAGAGTGACTACATTTCCCATAATGCAGCCATCATCCACTCCCATTGGAAACCGTTTTTCTCTCCCAGAAGGGCTTGTGATTGGCTGAGGGAGGAACCTGCGGTCTGACCCCGCCCCCTTTTCGGCCTTCCAGTCAGTTCGCCCCCCCCCGGTGCGGTAGGCCTGGTCGTCATGGCGACCCCTGCCGGGGGTGGGGGTGGGGAGTGGGTCCCGTATGTCTGTATGTATGTGGTGATTGTGTAAGTGTGTGTTATACGCTGCTGTCCTCCAGTAGTGGCTCCTTTCCCTCGCAGGCTCCGCCCTGAGGGCTGTGGGCGTGGCCCTGAGAGCTGCTGGTGTGCTTCTTGTAGCCGCCGGGGCGCAGGCTGAGCGCATTGTGCTCTGGGATGAAGAGCGCCACCAACAGGGAGAGCAGAACAGAGCATGCGCCGAATAGGAATGGTGGACCTGGAATAATGGCACTCTATAGACACACACACACACACACACACACACACACACACACACACAATTAATAAACAAATCACTGCTATTATATCAATAGAGTAACATGCACGCTCAGTTTCACAGCACAGATGGGTTAAAATGCGGAGGTGAAGGTGTCCCTGTTGGGGGACAAATAAGGGTCATTTAAGCTTAAGCTATTGCAGCAGCCCAAAAACCTGACAGATAACAGATTAAAAAAAGACCGAGTAAGACTCTAAAAGTTGTCTGGGGTCTTCAAAGCTTTATACATGATGTTAGGTGGTCTGCTTTTGCCCACTAAAGTCAAGTCAAGGTTTATTTATATAGCACTTTTTCACGACAGGTGCTGATGCAAAGCAGCTTCACAGAAATCCAGGTTCGAGCCCCCATGAGCGTCACCCATGGTGACACTGGCGAGGAAAAACTTCCCAAGAGCACTGCTGGGCCCACATCACACAAGTTTTTGCCTTATTGGCCCTTGCGACAAGTTTTCACAATCAGGAGTGATTCTCCAGTTCGGGAGCTCGATCAGAAGCGACTGACGGTGCGGATGATCTGTAGTGTGAGAGGAGAAACGAGTGAATCTCTAGCCCCTGATCAGATCGAACTCTGGAGGGATCAGAGACCCTCAGATATGATCAAACATGTGTAATATTTACGACTCAAAACGTTCACGAGTCCTGCAGTGAGAGACGGTCATGAACTCAGTGAGGGATTCAAACAGCCAATCAGAGAGCTGGAAGAGCGGAGAGAAAGGAGAAGAGACGAGCCTGAACAGCTGAGACAGAGGAGCTGAGTATGAACACAGGCAGATAAGAGCCGATATCACTTTATAATGTTTGTAATGTTGATCCAGATCAGGTCACTGTCTTTACAGTTTCAGCTCAGCTGCCAGTGTGCAGTGAAATATTTCTCCAGCTCTCACTGCGATATCAGTGTTCATCACCACAGACTCATCCCCAGTTTATTACACACAAAAGCACAAACAGGCCCAGTGAGTTCAGCTCTGTGTCGTGTGATCTGAGGAATTCTGGGAGTTTGAGTTCTTATTCGAAGCCCAAATGCAGGAGCAGCAATGGCTCTAATTACACAGTTTTGAGTGTGTACAGCAGACTGTGGCTGTGTATGTACAGTGAGCCTCGAGGCCTTTTAACCATGAAGTAAAACGAATTGGACTGAGGCCGTCTTGTTTTCACAATGCACTAATCAATCAGATCAATCAACTCGAAAGGTGGTCCGAGTTTGGTCGTTTTGGGGACCACTGAGGGGCCTGAGTTCGTCTGACATATTCATACATGCACAGAAAAGACTCCAGTGGTCCACTTGAGACGCTTAGAATAAAACACTGTTTTTAAAACTGATATGTAAATGAGCTCTGTTCTGATTGGCCACCCTGTATTGCACCTCATTCAAAAAGCAGCCCGGACTGAAACGATCTGAAGTGCTGTGGGCAGAATGGGCGGATGATTTTTGCAGGTGTGGTTTCCATACAGGGACTGTCGGGACTGGGCAGTGCAGGGAACTGTTTCATTGACTTGTGTTCCGTTCTTTTTCCTTGTTTTAGTTATGACTCATGGTTAAGCAGTGATAAGCCAGGTTCTCCTGAGAATCTAGAGAATCCAACTATGTTCTTTTCTCACGGTTTGAAGAACAGCAGCACTCAGCTGTTTATGGGTCTCAGGTGTAAACGACAACCAAAGCTGCTTTTCCACTGCATGGCACCAGCCTGTCTCGACTCCAGTCGCCTTTTTTTGGTTCTACACCTAGTAACTGGTAGTATTTTTAGCATCACCTCTGTCAAGGTTACAAGTGAGCTGATACCAAGAGGTGATGTGAAAAAACTGCAGATTAGAGGTTTAATGGTACACAGAAGTCAGTTTCGTACAAAAAAAAGTGGAAAAAAACCAATAAAACCCCCCAAATGCACAAGAGGGTCGTTTACACTCAAAAGTCACTTATGTTCACTAATCTGTGTGGTGACAGTTCAACTTCTGCTGTGATTTTGTAATTTGGAGCAGAAAACAGAAAAATGTAAGCCTTTGTGCTGAATCTGTTCTCAGGTGCAGAAACACTGCAGGCTGTGTGTAGACTCACTTCACTCCTTTAATTTCAGCTTGTTTTTTTTTTTTAAATTCTCTTTATTTATCTCAATAGCTGCTTCCTCACCTCTCACTCACTGTTCACCTCAAACTCAGCCTCATAGCTGATCGGAGCAAAGTCCTTATAGGACAGTCTGTACACCCATCGGCCATCTTTGCAACGCCGCCAGGCAGTTATTCCCAGCCGTACAAGACCAGACTCCTCTCTTTGAATGGGAAGAGACCAAAATACTCAAGTTTGAAATCACCAGTAGAATCTGCAGCGTTTGGTTCAATAACACACAAAAAAACGTGATTTTTTGGGTTGTTCTAGTTACGCCATCTCCACAATGAGGAGGGCTTTTCCCGCTTGCGCCATACACATGGCGCAACCAGCAACCTGATTGGCTCTTTTTTTCTTGACGGGCAGGACTTTCTCCGCGAACAGACATCATGTTGAGCGTTGTGAGCTTTCAGATTCATATACAGGGAGATTCACTCAAAAGAGGCCCCGAATATTCTGTAATTACTCTCTCTAGGACGAAGCAGTCTGAATGAAACAACGTGCAATGAGCTCCTCAGTATATGGAGCTTCGAACAAGCCGGGATGCCCCTGCGTCGGAGCGAGGAGGCATTGTTTAGGCAAGGAACGCTGTTCAGGCAAGGAACGTTCAGGAACATGGAGCCCCGCATCGAAATGTGTCTGGCAGAAAACGGAGATCACTTCCAGCATCGCATGTAATGTAATCGCTTACACATGCGCCAAGGTATGTAGTGTATTTTTTTGGTTCAGATTACTTCATCCTAACGGGAGTTACAAAAGAATATTCGGGGCCTCTTTCGAGTGAATCTCCCTGTATTTTAACCAGTGAACGGTCTCCTCATTTATAACGACTCTGTCATGGGTCAGGAGTCTGGATCATTTGGCGCTAGCTGTAGAAAACCTCAGCGACCCACTGCATGCACCGAACGGTAAGATCTGTACCGGGACAGTTTGGGACGAACACATGTACTGTTACAGCCCTGCTGACTGATTCGGGCAAATCACCCTAAACACATATGCTAACCTTAGCTACTAGGTTAGCATGGCCTCTTGTGTCGCCTTTGAGCTCCAGAATCGTCTCGTTGTCTGAACTCTGATGTAGTTTTTTCCCAAACTCTCCTGTTTTTCTATCTCACTGCCTCTTCTGAGCAACATTTGTCTCCTTCACATTATGGCAGTTTCATGTGGCATCACTGTGACGACCAGCTACACTGAGGGGGCGCTATGTCTGCGGTGGAAAGTGTAGCTGGTCCCAAAAGTAAGCAGAGTCGAGTTGAGTCGGTACCATGCAGTGGAAAAGCGGCTAAACCGTCTGTTGTCTCCACTGTTGGTTGGTTGGTTTCTGTTAGCACGAAAGAGCTGTGAGCCTCACCTCGTCAGTGGGGTTAGCCATGTTGGGCTTAGCGCCTTTATCCGGGCTGTCCGCAGGGTCCATCTCGTTCAGCTCCACGTGGAACAGGTAGAAGACGAACCCGTAGAGGGCGGGGCCGAGTCCGTTACACAGCCCTCTGATCCCCGTTATCATCCCCTGCACCACACCTGACACAAACCAGGAGAAAAAAAAACAACATTTATTTTGATTTTATAGGTTAATTTGTACATACAGCCAGCTACTGCGCTGACAAACCGTTTAACCTCTTATTCTCCAGGGTATATTTTGGTTTGTCCATCTGAATTTACGTGACCAAATCGTAATGCAAATTATTTAGTAACTGCATGAAATGCGGTTACTAAATAGACTCTCTTTATATTATTTTATAAAAATAATGTTTACAGAGCAGATCACTGAAGAGACGCCATCTGTTTATAGTTTATAGCCCAGATTTGTAGAAAAATGGGTCGACTTTCAGTAAACAAATAAACTGAGTTCAGCTTCTTTTATTATAAGGGTTTAAAATGACATCACCCATGTATTTGACTGGAAAGAACACAGTTACAGCTCTCATACGACCCCCACCTTTAGAATGTAGCTTATGAAATATGAAAGTTATGAAGAATATGACGAAGTGCGTTTTGGAACCACCGGTGGTCTCAAGGGGTTGAAGAGGTTGAAGGAGGATTTAGACTAATTTAGACCTCAGATGTAGTTAATCAGCCAAAACACGTTTGCTGTCCAAATTTTGCTTCTTTAGTTTAGTGCTGGAGCTACTAGGCTAACACTGCTACCAACAGAAGTCAATAGCCACCCAAATCATTTCTGTAAAAACACCCCTAAAACTTCTTTCTTCTCATTCAAACCACATCCAGGTCTTCATTAAGGTGGCACAGACTTCTTGTTGTGGTTTAGGACACAGTGTGACCTACTGTGAGCTATAAACACGAACAAAACCTCACCTGCACGGCGCAGGAAGCGGATACAGTGGTCAATGTTCAGCCACGCAGTTTTGTTCATGTTAACAGTTCACAGTAGGTCACACTGTGTCTTAAACCACATCTACAAGTCTATGCCACCTTAAAGAAGGCCAGGATGCGGTTTGAGCAGGATGAGATGAGTTTTCGGCCATGTATTTACAGAAAAGCTTTGGGTGTCTATTGGCTTTGTGTTTTAGCAAATTTTCAATAATATAAAACCAATTTTGTTGTATCAAATTATTCTAATGGTTATGCTGATCTATAGATTTTGTTTTTAGCTTTTAAAAAGCTGTACGAAATAAGACATTTTCAGTAATGAACAGAGCTGACGATGATTCCATAATAACATTTGTGAAACCGTGACCAAAAATTGCCATTTATAGTCAGTTTGTCATCAAATTATTATTAAAAAAATAACTGCGGTTTATTATTTAATAACATTATTTTTAATTCTCATTACTGCAACGTGTCCACATGCATTTCCTCTTAGCAATATTTATTATTTTTCTAAATGAGAAGAAATTAGCTTTATTCCTTTTAACTGTTATATTTTTAAATCTCTTCACTTAAATAAACTTTTCCTTGTAAACTGTCAGATGTGAACAACCTAATGTTGTGGCATAAATAAAATCTAAATCCTCAAGGCTGTCTGTGTTGTGGTAAAGAAATAAGATCACATATTTATAAATGTTTTCATAATTAGCTTCAAAATAATTAGTTTGACAACAGTACACAGATAATGAAAAAAACTGTGAAGAAAAAAAAAAAAACTTGTTGCGGTAATGAGAATTCTGTCATTTACATAGGAAAATGTGACTAAAATTCTATTTAAAAATAACTTGAAATTATTAATATTTATTTTTAATTCTCAAACCAGGCATAAGTTAAAGAGCAAAGATTTAGTTTTAGCCATTTTAAAAGTCAAAAAGTTATTATTTATTAATAAGTTATCAATAAGAAAAGTGAAAGGTCGCGTGTGTGTAATTTAATCAGTGCTCACCCTGCTGGTCCGGGTCAGCGTTTCGGGACACTATGGCACTGATGGCTGGAAAGGTGATGCTGGACATTGCAGCTACAGCTCCGGCCGCCCACATCATCCTGAAAAACAGGACAAAACACACCGTTACACACACACACACACACACACACACTTCCATAACACCACTCAACATCTACTGTTAACAGGATCTAACAGGGATGAACAATACATTCCTATCAACACAAAACAAACCAACCAACACCAAAAAACAGTAGTTTTATACTGTACCTTTCTTTACATATCACGGTTTCGATGCACATGGTGCCCTTCACATCAATACTAACAATATCTTTATTTGTAGAGCACTTTTCATGCCAGTGGCAGCTCAGAGTCCATTACAGACGGATGATAAAGCTCAACAGTAACTATATATATTAATTTAAAATCACATAAGACAGTAACACAGATCAGATTAAAGAGATAAACACCAAAGAGCCGTAGAGTTTTACTGAAGCTCTGAGTTAAAGAGCTGCGTTTTCAGATGTTTATTAAAAGTGAGCTCTGAGCTCGACTGTCTAATAAAAGCTGAACTGAGCTCCACAGTTTAGAAGCAGAATAGCTGAAAGAGTCTCTCCAGGTTTTCTGTGTTTTACTGAAGGAGTTCAGAAGGTCAGAATCTGCAGATCTGAGATCATAAACAGACGTTCAGGAGCTTTAAGGCCATATAGAGCTTTAAAAACCAGCAGCAGAGCTTTAAACTCTCTCTAACAGATCCAGGCGGTCAGTGCAGTGTGTAACGGGGTGATATGAGCTCTCTGTGTTGGTGCTGTGAGGATCCGTGCTGCTGTGTTCTGTACGGGTTCTAGAGGATGGACTGTTTTCTCCAGTAAGAAGATCATTACAGTGATCAACTCTGCTGAACAAACGCAGCAACGAGTTTCTCTGCGTCGCTCTGAGAGAGAAAAGGCTGAACTTTAGTGATTCTCACATGATAAAAAGCTGATTTAGTGACTGTTTACATGCAGAATAAACAGAGCTCAGAGTCTAAGATCACACCCAGGTTTCTACTGCAGGTTTGGTCTATGAAGATAAAGAGCCGAGATTCTCATAAAGCAGCTTTCTCTGAGTTTTAATGTCAGTATTTCAGTTTTTTCGTGATTCAGTTGTAGAAATTTTTGTGAGAAGTATTTGACACACAGCTGGTCAGCCTGCCTACAGACTCTTGACCATCAGAAGGAATTAACGTATAACTGCGTGTCGTGAGCATAGCTATGAAAATTGCCATCATGTTTCTTAAATGATAAGAGAAAAATAAAAGGCCCTAAAACTGAACCTTGTGGTACTATTCCTCGAGGAATCTGCACTAACAGATTGAACGACTTTAAATGAGTCTTGATCATAAATAAAAATGTACCTTAACATTTAAAAAAGCCAGATTTTCACATTTTAATGTTTTTCTTTCCACACAATATATTTAACTCGGTAAACAAACAGTAACTGCGCATTAAAATGTGCAGATGTGTGTTCTGTGTGCTTATTTTTGTCATGAATTGGTACACGTCAAAAACCTTCCACATCCCTTCAGCTGATGCAGTCTGGGGAAAGCTCAGTAAAGAAAAACTCTGTACCTGCCAACAAAACCTCCCCAAACACGACCATTTTATCACAGATTCAATAAACACTGAGCTACAGTCTGATCTCAGAGACTGCAGATTCACTAACGTGTGCCAAAGAAGCCAAGGCTTTCAAAACAAGGCCAACATACCAAAATAAACTCGTTCAGGGTCGTGGATGCGGCACCCACCCAACGATTTGTCGCTCATTCGCTTTACTGTGACCGCCGTAAGGACAGAATTTAATCAGCCAAATGTAACGAATGGAACTCACACAATATGTGGTATAAAACAGGAATTAAGCTGTACAGAGTTGAACAGACTACATGTTTCCCTTTAACCTTTTCTCCAGGTTTATTTGGGTTTGGCACGGCACCTCGACCGAAACCAAAAGTCCTGTCCTACACTTAAACAGAGCTTCCTGACGGGCGACAGTCTTCCTGTAGGTGGCAGAGGGAGATGTCTGAGTTGAACTTGGGCCATTAAAAACAAAACAGTTCCAAGATTTCTGCTACTGGCTCCAGAAGCGCAGGTCCACGTCTGCGTTGATCTCACAGTGACCCAACAAAAGTCCAACTATACACGTGTATCAGGTAGAACTGCACTGATTCCGATACCAAATATCGGTATCGGTGCCAATACTGGCACTTAAATGCAGTATCGGTATTGGTGATGGGGATACCGATAACCAATACCACGAAGCACGTGCATACGCAATCGTAACCAGAACTTAACACCACGTGGGCCGTGTGGGGTCGATAAGCAGCCGTAAAAATGCTCTTGGCAGAATCTGGAACGCCAGTATTTGGTGGAAAGGTAGTAGCAGCGAGCGATATAGCAGTCAGAATTCAGTTTCACTGATATGTCACAAATACACCGCATACCGCAACATACAAGCAGTGCAAAACACGTTAACAGGAGCCTCTGACCTCAACGGCTGAGCCGCTACTTTCAGTAAATCACTGTAGCCGTGTTATTGGTTACTGTCGGTGTTCATGTTAATCCAGGTTGTTATTGAGGGAGCGAATGTTAAGGCCAATCTATAGTGTCGTGCAACAAAATTAACATAAACAGACAAATTCTGTGTCTGCTAGGGTGCTGCAGACATTGGCACATATCAAAAAATCTGAAAGAGTGCAGACGTGGTCACTCTGACTGGACAAAAACTCAAAGTTCTACGTTCTGGATTGTTGCTGTGGTCCATTGTGCGGCTGTGTTTATTTCTTGCTGCTCCACAGCTTTCAGAAACAGAACGGGTTGCCAGCTATTCAGATCTAGAGTAAGTGTTTCTGACCCCGTGGCAGTCGGACACAAAGTCACTGGTCACTTTTAACGTTCCTCCTTGGCAGATTTCCACCAGGAACACGCTGTGATTTTATCCTGCTTTTAAATACACACAAACACAATCACAGTTGCTTCCCCAATAAAGGTGGAGACATGTAGGCTCACAGAACGGACGAGAAAAAGTTTGCATACGTGACTTTACTCTGTTTGACTGAACATAACAGTGTCTTTGTAAATCAGGCTGTGGAGAGACTGGACTGCTCTACCGTGTACATTTCAGTGCTCAGTGTTCGCAGCGCTGCTCTCGTGTTATTCTGAGTGAATCAGCTTTATTGATAACGGTCTGTAGACACAGCGTCTGTAGAGGCTGCGTTTCCCGTAGCAGGTCAGTCAGACGGAGCGTTTCGTACAGTGTGAGTTTATAAATCGTAGCTTTGTCTGAAAGCGATGGTCTATTCAAACGGACAGTGAGAGTCACCAAAGAACAAGATCTCTAACATCACACAGTGTCTGTCTGGCTTTAGAGGACATTCAGCGCTACTCAATCCAAGATCACTACTGTGGCACAGCCAGCTAACGCGCTTCATTTACAATCAGATACATTTAATGATTCATCTGTTAAGGTACTTTTACACTCATTTACACTAACAGGTACTTCATTCTTAGTAGGTACTCAGTGTGGTATCTGACTCTGGATTGGTGAGTACTAAATATGTACTCGAAATCAATCTGGGAAAAAAAAAGAATTAAAAGGACTGATGCATACCTAATTTGTATTTAATGATTATTTTATTGATCCCTGACCCCTCTGCAAAAAAAAATAAAAAGAAGCAGAAAAAGCTAAACCAGCTTCTAAGACTGAACTTTGGAGGTGTGTCTACAGATTCTTTGAGGAACTGAAAGGGAGTCTCCTGAAAAGAATGGAAGCTGGAATAAAGGGTAAACAGTGACACATTGAACACTCAAATAGCTGAGAGCAGATTTAGTTTTTGAGCCCCTCTGTCATTTTCTGTTATATATGTTTTTTTGTTTTTCCCCTGAGGATGAAAAGTTAACTCTCACTTTCGACAGGGACAAATATATTTATGTATTTAATAAATATAAAGGGAAAAAATAAAAAAAAATCTGATCAAGAAACTTTAAGTTTACTGCCCTCTTGTGGTAAAGCAAACACACTGCGACAGGGACAGTGAAGGGTCGGCGGCGGTCACTCACCATGGCTGGGAGCCGAAGCCGTACCAGGCCAGCTGAAGGATCTGAAAGCCCAGGCCCAACAGGATGGTGTTCTTATTGCCTATGGAGCGCATCAGGATACCCAGAACCACCGTCTAACGAGGAGAGGGGAAAAACAAACAAACAAACAAACAAATTAACAAAAAATGCGACACTCAGCTTCATGTTCATCAAAGTGTCTTCCCTTTTATGAAGAGCAGGTTTATAAATACCGATTTGACAGTTTTCTTTTCCAAACCTTTGCTAAAATCACTTTTCCTTTATATCTTAAGTGAAGCACAAGTATTTATCTTACAGTTAAATGCTTAAGGGGTAAATTTAAAGCTGTAAACTGAAAATTTGCAACTGTCAAAAACTGAAGTGCAGAAAATCCAATTTATTTCCCCCCAACTTTCCACTTATTTGTATTTATTTATTTATTTACTAATAGTAAATAAATCAATTTAATGGCCATTAATAAAGAGCATCAACAGAACTGTAAATCAGCCAGAGTTAACCAAAAAGGCTCATATTCACCTGCTGTCCCTCGAAGAGTACTATAATCAAAATTATCCACACATAAAGACAAACAAGCACCTTTAATTCATCAATTAATCATGAAAACACTTACACAGTATCCTAGAGAGATTCTGCACAGCTCTTTTAAGGTAAACAGAAATCTTAAGGCCAAATTTTCCTTAAATGTTCTATGAAAGTGGCCACTGGAGCTTAACGTAAGGAATAAATTCACAGAACGTTTGTTTATTAGGGAGTTACTGGCTGATCATTTTGATCCCTAGTTAAACTATTTTAAGTATTTAGGAAAGCTGGCAGTGTTTACCCAAATACTGTCACCAGTCTTCACTCCTCATCTTTATTTACTCACGAATGACTCACTCGGCCCTGAAATCACACGCTCGGATGACGCTCAGCGGCTCTGCGCTGTTTCAACATCTGCTCGTGTTTGAGCACACAGTACCAACCTGAGCCAGGATGGAGAGAATTCCCACCACCGCGATGAACGCAGCCACCGTCTCCGACGTGAACCCGATGACCTGGGGGTTTAAGACGTAACCGAGCAGAAAAAAAGATAAACAAAAAAAACAAAACGTTTAGAAGATGGCTGAAGATAATCAGATAATAATGAAGATAAGTGAGGGTGGTCCTCTCAGAGCAAACTGGCCCAATTAAACACACCGGTCGTGTGTGTGAGTGTGTTACCTGTCGCAGGTAGAGGAAGAAGCTGGAGTACTGTCCAGCCTCGGGCAGGTAGGACAGGAAGACTGTAATACAGATCAGCAGCACTGTAGAGTCCTGACCAACTTTACGCAGAGACTGAAGAAAGAGAAAGAGAGAGAGAGAGAGAGAGAGAGAGAGAGAGAGAAAATATGATAAAGAGTGAGAGAGAAAAAAAGGAGTGAAAGAAAAAAGAGCATAAGAGAATGAAAGACAAAGGGAAGAGAGGGAATGAAGAAAAGAAAAGAAAAAAAAAACACCACGAGAGATAGAGAGAGAGAGAAAGAAAAAGGGGAAAGAGAGAAAGAGTTAAGGAAACACTGAAGAATAAAAAACAAGCTCTGTTTACTACCCCAGGTTCTATGACTCCAAAACCCTTTTTGGTGCTACAGAAACATTTAAATGGTTCTTTAAAGCTTTTCATCATAAAGAAGAACCTTTTAACAGCCCAGAACGACTCATACATTCACTGCTCATGGTTCGATATCCACTTAATGGAAGCCTATAGCCCACTAATTAGCACGGTGCTAACTGCATGGCTAACGCATGTGTGACCCATGACCGTGTGTTTAATGACCCTGTACGTTTTAGCATGTGAGTGCTAGCTGACTCACGGCGAAGGGGTCGGCCTGCTCCCAGGAGATCGGAGCCCCCCAGGAGGCCGGGCGCATCTTCTCCGGCAGAGACTCGGGCACGGCCACCAGGATGAAGCAGATGTCCAGCAGCGCGATGGCCGTGGCCAGAATGACCACCAGCGTGTCCCCGTACGCCTGAGACAGGTACGCCCCGATCGCTGGACTCGTCACCAGGCTCGCCGCAAACGTGGCCGAAACCTGAACACACAGGAGGAGCCGTTAGGAACGCTGGCGCTCTCAGTGGCTCAGAGGTTTGTATTTAATAACAGAATACAGTACAATACAATACAATACAATACAATACAATACATAACTGTGACACTCTCTTAAATCCACAAGAGGGCGCCAGGGTTATTATGATTAACAATTATAATGAAAAGCGGTACACAGACCATAATAGATCTGTAGTTTAGTCATTTTGTAGTCAGTATCACGCCCAAATTAGGAACTCAGGGTCTAAGCGGTTCTTCTTTGGGGAAAAACTAAGTTTCTCACTTTGACAGCTTTGATTGAAACACTATAATAAAAAAACTACTATATATTTACAATTTATACCTAAATAATTATATTGATTTGTAAACGTTAAACTTCTAGCCAGCAATTCTCTCTCTCTTTCTCTGACACTGTTTCAGTATCCCTCCAATTCTGGTCCAAACATTGAAAAAATCTACAACTAATGGCTTTTAACTTCATGTATTCTCTTGGGATTTACGATGATGATATCGGAATTATATATGTATTCGTAGATCGTTCATAAATAAAAGTAATATATTACATCATATATTTTACTTATGATATTTTTAATTTAACTAATAGTAAAATAAAATAATATATTAAATTATATATACTAAATTATATAAAACTATTTAAAAATTATTTATATTTTTAGAATATAATTTAACACTACTTTTTTACATAATAATATTATGTAGTAATATATAATAATGTTAATATATTATAATAGTTTTTGTCCTCCCCTGTAAAGGTACCATTTTGAAAATGCTTGTTTTTCTTTGGACAGTGATTCTTCTGTGTAACACTAATCCAGATCTACTCCCAATTTCCACATTTCATATTTAACGTTTATGTACCAGCCTCAGCAAATACATGAACACTACTGGATCTCGACATCGGCCCACGTCCCTATTCTGAAGTTAAAGCGTTATTTGGTGTTTTCTGCCTCTTTGAGTATAAAACGTCCCTGAAATTCAGACGATGGGATTTAAACTGCCTCTATCCCCCCCTGGTGTGAGAGCGTGCTGTGTTTGGACTGTGTGGTATAAGGAGAGCGGTTCTCCTCACCAGGCCGTACGCCGTGCTCCTCTCATGTTCCTGCGTGATGTCCGCCACGTACGCAAAGATCACTGAAAACGTGACCGCAAACACTCCGGACATGGAGATCACAGCAAAATACCACCTGCAGAGACAGAAAACATAAACACGGCATCGCATCACCTCCAGAAGACCTGCAGAGGAGCACCGAAGACCTGACATGGCAAAAAAGGGCATCTTCACAAGAGAAAACGTGAAATACAGTCAGTATATCTAATATTTCTCACTATGAGGCTGATAAAAGAGCACTGAAGGATCATTTCTAGACATTGTTACTTGTTTTAGGTAATTTTATCTTATGAAAGCGAAATGTCTTGTTCCATTGGCAGAAGATCGTACTGTTGTATGTTTTGAGCATTATCTCTTGAAATTATCTGCAATATTTAATATTTAAATTATCTGCATTATTTTAACAAGATAAAATGATCTGCCAACTGAATAAGACACTTTCACTACTGTACAAAAACAGGTTGAATAATTTTATAACCCTTAAAAAAAAGTCTTATAATTAGAAATATTAGATATGTTGGCCTCTTTTAAGACGTTTTTACTTGCTAGGATATAATGTTTTGGAGTGTAGAGGAGCACCAACCACAGCAAAAACACTTTCAAATACACTTTTACGCTTTTCACACGTTCCTATGCGGCATGAAAGACCAGCGGGGAGCGCTGTTATATTTAATCACAACTCTTTATCTCCAGAATTTAAAATCTGGGTGGGAAAATGATTCATTGGATGATGAACTGAAATGACTGCAAGTGCTAATCAATGGCCTAAATCCTGGTCTGCCCAGGTCTAACCTTACTATTGTTTTGGAAAATAGTCCCTTATTGATGTGAACTGCCTTGACTTTCTGATTATTCAAGAGAAAAGATGCAGTATTTTAATTAATATCGACTACATTTCAACAGCAAACTCCCCTGTAAAGCCCACACGTGGCTGACTGAAGCGGGAGGACACGTTCACGGCTGTTGAAGTGCCGGAATAGTGTAAATGCAGCATAACGGCACCAATAAGCATCCTTGGACAAGATTCCTCAAACTATCTGTAACATGATTACCTCTGTAACATAAAACATGTACGTCCCTCTGTATATGAGCTCCTGCCCAAGGCGTGAATGTAAACTAGCAGGCAAGTGGCACAAATCTGATTTTGGCCTCAGTAGAGGAGTCTTCATTCAAAGGATCTTTTGTGAAAAAAAAAACAAAAATATTTATAAAAATCGTTTAAAATTGTTCATGGATAGGGGCGGCACGGTGGCGCAGTGGGTAGCGCTGTCGCCTCACAGCAAGAATGGCCTGGGTTCGATTCCTGGCCGGGTGACCAGGGTCCTCTCTGTGTGGAGTTTGCCTGTTCTCCCCGTGTCTGCGTGGGTTTCCTCCGGGTACTCCGGTTTCCTCCCACAGTCCAAAAACATGCAGTCAGGCTGATTGGACACGCTGAATTGCCCCTAGGTGTGAGTGAGTGTGTGACTGTATGTCTGTCTGTCTGCCCTGCGATGGACTGGCGACCTGTCCAGGGTGTATCCTGCCTTCCGCCCAATGACAGCTGGGATAGGCTCCAGCACCCCACCGCGACCCAGAAGGATAAGCGGTTTAGATGATGTATGTATGTATGTATGTATGTATGTATGTATGTATGTATGTATGTTCATGGATACCTGGAATGTTGCTAAATTTTTTTTTTTGGAGGAAAACTAGCCCATTTTTGCATGAATGCATTAGAGGAGGAGACAAGAATGGAGAAATAAATAAATAAATAAATAAATAAAAACCTAAAATAAAACTGAATTTCCTTATAAGAACATTGGTTCACAAGTTGTAACATACATGAAAGAGTGAAAAAAGCGGTGTTTTATGATCAAATCAACTACAGAAACAAGTGTTGCAAGAAAAATGTGCTCTAATGGAAAAGCGTTTGTGACAAAATCAGAAAGAAAGATAAAAAAAGAATTGAGCAATGTAAACATTGCCTTTATGCATTGCTCACTCATCAAAACAAAGGAAGTGTCTGAATCAAACAGAAGTCAGAAGTTCAGACTGTTATTTACAGACATCTCTGTAAATAACGTGTGTAAGTAATAAAACAAAGTGAACTCAGCCGAGTTTCCTTCTCAGGGCTGAAGTGAGGTGTATGTGTGTGCTGTGCTGCCGTATCTCACCACGGGCTGATCTTCATGAGGGGGATGGGGGCGCAGGTGAAGAAGACGGTGAGCAGGAGGAAGGACTTCCGACCCCACACATCAGAAAGAGCACCGATCAGTGGAGCGCTGAGGAACGACAGCAAGCCCTGCAGAACAAACACTCAGATTAGACTTTATATATCCAGTAGTATGTAGACACCTGACCGTCACACCTGTATGAGCTTGTTGGACGTCCTGCTCAAAAACCATGGACATTAATATGGAATTGGTCCCCCGTTTGCAGCTCTAACAGCTTCCACTCTTCTGGGAAGCTTCCTACAAGATGTTGGAGTGTGTCTGTGGGAATTTGTGCCCATTCAGTGTAAAGAGGGTTTGTGAGGTCAGACACTGAGGCTTCACAATAAGAGCACTTACAGTTGACCAGGGCAGATCTAGCAGGACAGACATTTCACAGACTGACTTGTGGCCAGTGTGTGCCACTTCTGGACATATAGTGTATGTAAAGTAATTTATCTGGGCTGTAAACATGTATTTGCTAACATCAGAATAAATACACATGAACAAAAACAGTCCTGTGTGATTGTTCTGTGTGGCGCGAGCCACACGGAAAGGCTTGCTTTTCATTTTGGCGCCCATGTTAACTGGTCAGCGCATTCATACAGGCTGCACATGCGAAGCAGCAGAGTCCCAGATGCTGCGCTAAAGCGCAGCGGTGTTTGGAGAATAGACCTGGCGCAGATTTGCACCACACAGCAAAATACACTGAAATAAGCCAAGAAAATCAATTAAAATTAAACAGAAAACCGAAATGCTAGTTTCCTTCTGATCAGTTCCTATTCAGAAGTCAGAATGCTGTCGAGGATAAACAAACATACCGTGCACTTTCATATAATTATATTTTTAATCGAGCAGAGTGACTGATGTGACCATTTATCCGCCTGGAAAAGTGAATGTCTGCATAACGTTTTCGCTGCTGCGCTCTGCAGCACGAGCTCTGTATGTATGTTTTTCAAGCTGTAGCATCACTCGCGCCACCCAGAGGTAGCATGTGTGAGTTAGGCTTGAGAGTCAGGGCTGCAGCAAATATTCAATAAAAGACAATAAAATTTAATAATTGAAATATTTGAAAAATTAGACTAAGTGGTACTTTTATTTGTTTTTGAAAGCAGGCGCTCCAGTGTGGCTTTTTTACCGGTCTGACGATACTTTGTTTAGGAAGCTAAAAAAACACAGGAGAAAGAAAAAAAAAAGAAACACTTGTTTCCAATGCAAGTTTATGTAACAAGTTTTTTTCTGTTTTAAGTCATTTTGGAACATTTCTACTGGTCCATTCATCACAAAATTGTGACAATGTAAACAGCAGTTAGCATTTACATATAACATAAGAAAACAAACAAAAATGGAGATGCAAGGTTTTACTCCAAACAGCGACAATACAGAGCTGGGTAATATGACCATATTTATCATTACTGTGAAAATATAGATTATATATTTGTATATTGTAGATATCGTCAGTACTTAAAACTGGGGTTTGACTTCAAAGAGAGCATAAAAACTCCTGCTTAATTATATTTAGTGCTGTTCAGTGTGTAAACATGGAACATAAATCTTTGGGTAACACTTCATTTGGATGGTCCACTGTAGATGCTCAGTCTGTCTATAAGTAACATTCAACTAAATACCCATGAATTGCAAGGGAAAAACAGAATCTCCTTAAGTTGTGGGGAAGTCAAAATTTCACAAGTTGCATCATAGATGAAATTAGAGCGTAAAGGAGTTTGACAACGGAAACGAGTTGCGGTGCAAAGAAAGGAAGTATGTGTGTGTGTATACACATATATATATATATATAATTTTAAAATCAGAATTGAGCAGGAGGATGTTAACGTGAACAATGCCTTTGATTAGGCATCAAGTTCAGTGTGAAAGAGTTTATTAAATCTAACCCAAACCTTAACCTCAAGACCTACATCTACTCCTAATCCTAATGTTGTTGATAATCAACTGAACATCTCCAGAAGGTCTGTTGATGATTTAAGTATCTGGGGCTGTATTACAGAAAATTCTTAAGTCTAAGATCTGCTTTGTTGTCATGGCAACTTCAGTTAAGACTGAATTTAGGACAGAAGCCGTTACAGAACCACAGTTCTTAAGTCTATAATCTGATCTTATTTCCAGATAAGAAAACTGTTACACAAAAATCCTAAGTTGCCAAAGTATCCTAAGCATTTTCTTAACTTTAAGATAAACTCCAGAGCCTCTTAACCTCTGCTTAACCGTCTGTTTCTGTTTTGCGCAGTGATGGGCAGCACAGTTCACTATAACCAGCATAGTGATGCCACATTTGTCTACACTGAAAACTGAGCTTTGAGGTTTTTTTTTTTTTTTTAAAAACAGTATTTTTCTAAGATCTCAGACGCTGCAGACTCGATCTCCACCGCCCCTCTGATCACCTTCGTGTGTTAATGTTGATGATGAAATATTACAGTGATGGTGGTGAATAATGAGGAGGCGGAGCTGAACGTGTGTCTGTTTATTAGGAGGAGTAACGTTAGCGCACTCGGCTAAAGCGTTTGGGAAATGAACGTTCTGATAAACAGCAGGGGGCGCTGTCACAATATTCTTAACTTTCAGTTTATCGCGCTTTAGTTTCATTTGACTTTGACATTAGTGACGGTAGCTAACGTGAGCTGCCTGAGTAACTTGATTACGTGTTTACGTTTCAGCAGTGTGCGTACGGTCGGTTACTAGGTAACAGACACGACAGTTGATTGTCGACTTCAATCGAGAAGGTTAAGATTTCCTAACTTGAGATAAGAAGAGATGCTGTAAGATAAGATTCTTAAATTAAGATCAGATTTGCTTCTGTAATACAAATTTGTGGAAAATCTTATCCTGACCTGTCAGATCTTAAGTTAAGACAAAATGATAAGAATTTTCTGTAATACGGCCCCTACAGAGCATCTATAGGGGACCATCCAAATAAAGTGTGACTAATCTTTATATTAATAGTTTTTGATAGTATTTTTATGTAGCACCACTTTGTCTGTTCCAGCTTATCAGATGTCAGAAAAAATAAAGATCTCAAAACCTGAAGTATCGTATTACATTTTTGCCAAATTTTACATTTTAACACAAGGCAAAGAGTAACTGGACTTTTCGCTCATTTTAGCTCGTTTTTCTTACTGCAGCATTACAGAGTGAAGCTCTCTCGCTCACTCTCTCACTCTCCGAAACTGACTACTGGTGCGAGCGCCTGCACATTCCTTAAACGTGGACCTCAGCTTCCCGACGTATTTTCAAGCTGCTTCATGATAAATCTGTCCTCTCTAATCGAAAAAAGGGTGATTATCACCTTTTACACATCATTCGGTTACCTGTCCATCACTGACGATATCCAATTACATCGCCCTATCGCCTAGTGGTGGTGATAGGAACCAGACGTCCACCTCTAAAAGCTCCCTCACAGAAAGTTCCTACATGAAATGGTTATGAATTCACTGCCTGATGACTGAGACGCTGTTTTAGGATAGTTTAGAGAACTTAAACTCCATTCATGGTGGAGGGATACATGCAGGGCGCTGTGAGGCAAAATAGTCCCCAAAGAAAACTTATTATTTCAGTTTTCCACTATTTTCCATCATCAACATTCCAGATAAGCTCAGAAGACTCGTGTAGGTTCACTGGTGGTTCTGGATAGTAAATAAAATGTCTATATTTGTGTTGTAGTCATGGCGACCCCTGGTTCCTATCACCACCACTGTAAAGACATCTGAACCATTTCACACCAAACCACTTCTAGTTGTTGGGCTGTAAGGCTGGGCTGTATATAACTGTCTATTATGTATGCTTGTGATATCAACTGTGCAAATTGTGCAAAAAAATATTTTTAAAAAACCACCAAAAGTGGAGATAGAAGGATTCTGTGTGATACTGGTGAGATGTGTGAACTAAGTGAGGTTAATGTATTACAGTGATAACACAGCCTCTCACTCACTGACACAGTTCAATAAAGAAAGGTCAGAAGGTCAAAGTCACCTTATCACAAACAAACACCGCTACGGAGTTAAAGCCTGTCTGTATACATGTTACAGATTATCTGACCAACGTAACGAGGGGAGAGAGAGAAAAAGGGACAGACAGACAGAGAGAGAGAGAGAGAGAGAGAGAGAGAGAGAGAGAGAGAGAGAGAGAGAGAGAGAGAGAGAGAGAGAGAGAGACTGGCTTACCTTGACTCCATGTATCAGTCCGTTCATCAGGAACGTGTGCTGAGGAAACGTCTGGTGTAACACCTGAGAGACAAACACACAGACAGGTTAATGAAAGGTCTTCCAGCTGTTATCTCTCCCTGACCTGCTCTCTTCTCTTTCACAGGAACTGAACGCGGGTGATAAACGATAGACTCATCTCTCGGCCCGATACCACAGCTCCTAATTCTCCTGTGATCAAGCAAATGGAGCTTCCTGTTCATGCTAATTTGCCAAAGTGGCAATTAAAACTATGTACAGTGGGCTGCGTCACATTCAGCATCGAGTCTCCCAACCACAACTGGGCGGAGAGAGTTACCACCACACACTGCAATCTTCTCCGAGCGGCTTAATCGGACGTTCCTGAAGTCCTGCAGACGAGAGGAACTGAACTATCACAAACCCAGCAAGAGCCACTTCAACATGCATGTGGTTTAATTCTGAGACACTGTTTTATGATAGTTTAGAGAACTTAAACTCCATTCATGGTGGAGGGATACATGCAGGGCGCTGTGAGGCAAAATAGTCCCCAAAGAAAACTTATTATTTCAGATTTTCCACTATTTTCCATCATCAACATTCCATATAAACTCAGAAGACTCGTGTAGGTTCACTGGTGGTTCTGGATAGTAAATAAAATGTCTATATTTGTGCTGTTGTCATGGCGACGCCTGGTTCCTATCATGTCTGTTTAGCAACCAACTATACACACACAACTGAAATGTTAACATGTAACCAAAATAATGTCAAAATGTGAGTTAAGTTGCTGTTACTGATGTAAAAAAGGTCAAACAGAACTAAAGTGTGATAAACTAAGGTGTGAATGCTGTGAGAGCGCCCCCTGCTGTTTATCAGAGCGTCACCGCTCCCCAGTTTTAGTCTCCATTTCCCAAACGCTTTAGCCGAGCGCGCTAACGTTACTCCTCCTAATAAACAGACACACGTTCAGCTCTGTCTCCTCATTATTCACCACCATCACTGTAATATTTCATCATCAACATTAACACACGAAGGTGATCAGAGGGGCGGTGGAGATCGAGTCTGCAGCGTCTGAGATCTTTAAAACGCAGAGTTAGAAAAGAAAATCATCTCACAGTGAAAGCAGCGTTTTACAGTAGGAATAAATGGAGCTCATTATGCTGGTAGTGAACTATGCTGCTGACTCAGCTGCCTAAAAACCATAGAAACGGACCTTAAACAGAAGTGAGGACCCTGTTGGGGTTCATCCTAAAGTTAGGACAGGATTTAGGAGGTTTAGTCTAGTTAGGATGTTTGTGTGATGCTGTTTTCTTATCTGGAGTTCATGATGAGATTATGAAGGTAGGAACTGTTATTCTGGAATAGATACTGTCCTGAATTCAGTCCGTACTGATGTCACCATGGAGACTGAACACATCAGAGTTAGGATGGTTCTGTAATACGACTCCTGCGCTGCAGACGTCAGCTGTAACCGCTGACTTCTTCAGAGTGGTGTGGAAACTCTTATGGTTCTCTGTTTCCTCTTTATGGCTTAACGTCTAGCTTTCCTGACCACACGGTTCCACTAACTCACAATACGGAGAGAGCGAGTGGTGATCAAATGCTGAAATTTCTTCTAACCGCATTGTGAGCATCACACAGTAAACGCTCTTTAACTTTGCTGTTTACTGGGCGAAACATCAGCCGAAAACGTGCACTGTTTATTGATGTTAAGTAGGGGTGAGAATCACAGGACACCTTACAATACGATTTTATCAGGATACACTTCCAACGATAAAGATGAAGTGTCAATACTGTGATTCTGTGATACTCAATACACCGATCAGGCATAACATTCTGACCACCTCCTTGTTTCTACACATTGTCCATTTTGTCAGCTCCACTTACTATATAGGTGCACTTTGTAGTTCTACAGTTACAGACTGTAGTCCATCTGTTTCTCTGATACTTTGTTAGCCCCCTTTTACCCTGTTCTTCAGTGGTCAGGACCCCCATGGACCCTCACAGAGCAGGTACTATTTGGGTGGTGGATCATTCTCAGCACTGCAGTAACACTGACGTGGTGGTGGGTGTGTTAGTGTGTGTTGTGCTGGTCTGAGTGGATCAGACACTGTAGTTTTTAAACACTGTGTCCACTCACTGTCCACTCTATTAGACACTCCTACCTTGTAGATGTCCACCTTGTAGATGTAAAGTCAGAGACGATAGCTCATCTGCTGCTGTACAGTTTGTGTTGGTCATCCTCTAGTCCTTCATCAGTGCCCACAGGACGCTGCTGGCTGGATATTTTTGGTTGATGGACTATTCTCAGTCCAGCAGCAACACTGAGGTGTTTAAAAACTCCAGCAGCACTGCTGTGTCTGATCCACTCAGACCAGCGCAACACACACTAACACACCACCACCACGTCAGTGTTACTGCAGTGCTGAGAACTAATTTTCCTGACTTCTCTGAAATAACGGTTTGATGCAGTATGTAAACATGGATTTTACAGTTTACGCCACGGGGGTCCATGCCACCAAGGACCTCCCTGCCATCTCCCACCGCCTGCACTGTTCCCCCATGCTGGAACTCGCGGGTGGTGGGCTCACATGGTCCCCCCACGTGGTCTTTTCGGGCTCAGCCCGGCTGGGTTACATGTACTGCCCGGCTACCGGGCGCTTGCCAAGGAACACTACCCCCAGACCTGGCTCCAGGGGTAGGACCCGATAACCCTCTCCCGGGCAGGATACACAGTCTCGTGTCCCTTAATCATGGGGGATTTTGGATACAGTTAGTTTGGGTCTTCTGAAGATACCTAGACCACACAAGCCCTCCCGTCACGACAAGGCCTGTAGCCGGTTGCACCAGCTCTGCACAAGTTCAAACGTAGACTAGAATTAAACCTGGTGGACTTTTTCTCCTCCAAAATGAAGCACAATGAGTGCAGATCTGTTTAGGGACGTGTGATGTGGTGTTGAACATAAAGATCTGCTCCTTCTCCGCTTCGCGAAACCTGTCTCAGGCAGATTCCTTGCAGATTTTTTTTTAGCAGAAAACGTTCTGCCGTCTGAATGCAGCCGCTTTGACATGGAGATGTGCTTTCAAACCAGTCGCAGGGTCATACAGGTTTCAAATAGTTCTGCACGACCTGCTTTAGACATGTCAAACTAGCCTTCCTGTCCATGTTGGAGGAGCTACCAGACACGCCACCTACCCTACTATCACCGCACTGAGGCCGAAGGAAGATTTTTGAGAGAGGCTGAAAACCAGCGACCCTCCATTGCTGCTCTGTTAAACAGTGCAGGCGGAAGTTTGATAATGCTACTATTCATAGCCGGATGTGACGACGCAGTGGTCTGTAAAGAGAGGCTGGAGTTTGGGGCCCTTTAAAGAGGAACCACAGTCTTTCTGAATGACACCGGCTGATTTATCTGCTTTACTGCTCTCAATCTGCTTCCTGTTCAATGAATAATTCAGACAGATTCTATTGCTATGAGGGTTCAAGCTATTCAGACACTTTAAGTGGTCCAGGCTTCCACTGCTCTCTCATAACACAGTCGGTGTGAATAGGAAATCATAACTCAGTCTCCTTCCACTGGGAAGTGAAACACGGTATCTGGGAGGGTCTCTGAGCGAACTGAGCTGAGATGGGTGGGAGCGGAAGGTGAAACGTAGGTTAAAGGAGCCAATATACTACATTTTTTTTGTACTTTATTTTTTCCCCTGAGGTCCATTTACAGAATTTGTGATTCTATGTACCGAAAACAGTCATAATTCTTTCTTACAAGATGCTTTTCCAACCTGTCTACATCTCTTAGATTCTCAGAAGTCTAGTTTCAACTGGATTTGATGGAAGATTACAGGAAAACAAGAATATAAATCACCAGATATGTCTTAACAGACTGAGAGAGGGAACAATTCTTCTTCTTCTTCTTCTTATTATTACTACTATTATTATTACTATTATTATTACTACTACTACTACTACTACTGACCTACACCTACCAGAGAGAGAGAGAGAGAGAGAGAGAGAGAGAGAGAGAGAGAGAGAGAGAGAGAGAGAGAGAGAGAGAGTGTGAGTGAGTGAGTGAGTGAGTGAGTGAGTGAGTGTGAGTGTGTGTGTGTGTGTAGCTTTACCGTGAGCATCGGAGTTGTGAGCAGCCCCCAGGCGAAGAACTCGAGGAAGATGACCACGACCGCATGGTAAACACTGGGCTCCCCAATCCCCTGCGGCTAAACAGACACAAAACAGAGCACCGTTAGCTTCATTAGCATCGTTAACAACAGACACCGTTAGCCTCGTTAGCATCGTTAACAACAGACACCGTTAGCCTCGTTAACAACAGACACCGTTAGCCTCGTTAGCATCGTTAACAACAGACAGAGGGATAAGAGGGGAAAAAAGCAGTGGTGGAAAAAATTACTAGTAATCAAAGAAACGAAGAGAAAAATGGGGAAGATGATTTTTTTTGCCTTTTTGGCATAACACACCAAACGTTAATGCATCAATAAACAGATTATAAAACTACTACCTGTTCACAGCATAAATTATAGTAATTTAGTAGTAAATTACTGAATAATTAATTTCAGTAGATGCTGAATAATTCATAGTAGATTCTGAATAATTCCCAGTAGTTATCGAATAACAAAGTAGATACTGAATATTTTAACATAGTTATTGTATAATTCACATCAATTACTAAATATTTTATAAAAGACACTAAACAATTCACAGTAGACACTGAATAATTCATAGTAGATACTAAATAATTTATAGCAAATACTGAAAAATTCACAGTAGTTAATTAATACTTTATAGTGCTTCCTGAATAATACACAGTAGCTACTTATTAACTCACAGTAGTTACTGAATATTTGGTCCCACTTTATATTAAGTGTCTAATAATGAACAACATATGCAACAACACTGTAACTACTGATGATTTAGTCAAGGTTACAGATGGATTACACGAGTACAGCCTATGTAATTACGTGTGTATCGACAGTTTTGCCTTTTGTAATTACACAAGTGTATCTTCTACACAGTGCAGTGTTAAAGTTACACTTTATAATAAGTGGTCAGTTCCTGTGTAGTTGTTGTGTAGGTACTGTGTAATAATGGAGTGGTAATATAGACATTATTTTGGGTTTAATGCAACACATTTAATTATTATCATTAAAAGTTACATGTTAAGATAAGGGGTCGTCTGCTGTTCTGTCACATTACAGAACGGTTTAAAGCTGAAACTGGTTACAGTGTCTCAGCACTAGCAACATAAACACTAGTGAAATGTTAGGAAGCTGGCAGGTACAATGTAAGTAATGTCTTAATATAAGTTATTACAAACTTCCTTTTACTGCAAGAAAAAAAAAAAACCTGAAAAAAACTGGTGCTCCAGTCTGATTACAAATGCAATTACATTTATTACCCTTGTGTAATTACACGAGAGAATAGGCTGTTACACCTATTAAGATACACCTGTGTAATTACATAAGGTGTACTTCTGTCAATCCATATTTAACAGTGACTAAATCAATAGTAGTTACATTGTTGTTGCATATGTTTGCATGTAACTACATAGTTATTAGAGACACTTAATATAAAGTGGGGCCGAATATTTCATAGTAGCGACTCGATAATTCTTAAACACGGGGGCATTCTGTCCCGGTCATGCACACAGAGAGAGGGAGCGTTTTTTGGCCCTGTCTGAGCACAAATACACGTGTAAGAACAGAGCAAACAGAGGCTTCTGGGAGAGAACGGTGAGTCCATACAGGACACCAGTACACACCCACTATCACCCACTGCTTTGAACAGCCCAGCACGCCTGCTGTGAACTCAATCACTCTTACACAAGAAAAACTCTCTAAATTAGACAGAAATGCCAATCATGTGGTCAAATAAGGAAAGTACCACCAAAACTCTTTCCAGTACCACCAAAACCTCCTCCCAGTGCAACCGAATCTCCTCCCAGTACGGCAGAAACCCCCTCCCAGTACATGAAATGTAAATGAAATGGTTCTACATCAGACTCAAGGTGCTAAGTAGAACTGTTGCCTTTTCTAAAGAACACCTGAAGAACCATCATTTTTAAGAGTGCAGTCGTGGACAAAACTGGGAATTGTTGCTTTTTTCTCCCCAATTTAGTCGTCTCCAATTCCACCCGCTAGTTCTGACTCCCCCAATCAGACGATACTACCAGCGCTAGGAGGGCGAAGGCAGCACAGGCTTCCTCAGAGTCCTCTGAAGCTCCACCGCATCTTTTCGAACTGCTGCTCACGCAACGTCACTGTACAGCCGAACGCGCTCAGAGGAGACGCTAACCACCAGATCTGTTACGTCAGCTAACAGACGCCTGCGCTGACCGGCATCGTGTTGAGTCGTTCCCAATGTGAAGATGTTAAACCCTGTGAAGAGGATTTTGGGTTTTACGAGTGGCTTACTGGTAAGGTCCGCGAGGGTGAGCCAACCAATAGGATGAGCAAGACTAAAAGTAGAGTGCAAAAACAAGTAGTTTATTTACACGATGTGAAAACAGGAAACAAAAACTGTACAAAAACGAAAAATAAGCGGAAAGTAAAGTATTTACAATATATACTAAGCGTCAGGCTTAGTCGTGGTATGGGGAGCAGCCGCGAGGCTGGGTCCCAACTCCCTTTATAACTTCCCCCACACCATTACTTCAGACAATACAAGCTGCTAGTGTTTTTCAGTGGCAAACAGAGTCATGAGGAGAAGTAGCCTTCTCTCTTAGGAACCCTTGGGTTTTAAGTCTAAAGCCCCGCCTTCGGAGATCCCATTCCCCACCATGAGGTTACAACAGTGTGGTTTACACATGAAACAAATGACAGCGCTTTACACAAACAACCTAGGTTAAACAATTCGTTACCGGTATATACATTGTCTGGGCCCATTAACTTATAGCAATTAATTATTTTCTTTTTCCTCCCACAGGATATTAGATGAGGAATAGACCCCCCCCCTTCTCCCCATTGGTGGATCCTCCCGATTAGGATCAGGTGCGTAGGTGTCCCTGCTGTCCCCCTTTTGCTAATTCTCCTTTCACAGGCAGACACAGGTAAGTACATCTATACACTCACGTATTTTATAGTGCAAGGGATGGTATTCACTGGTGACGGGGTAGGCCTCGCCTTACCACATCACACCCAACCTAATTGTTTTAATTGAAGTCACAAGGAACCAACCAGAGTGCGACTGTTGGGTTTAAAGACCAGAGAACAGGGCTGGGCAATCACTGTGATAAATTATGTCACTGTACAATATGTGTTTATATATTACATATAACATTGTGTTTAAAAACTGACCAACTGCATGTTTCATTATAACAAGAGCAAAATTAGCTAAATTAGTCTTGTTTAACTGGATTTAGTGCCAAATACTGAATAAAAATCACATAAAAATAATTGTGACATATCGTTTACCATCAAAACTTAATGTATCACAGTTCTATATTTTTGCCATATCGCCCACCTCTACTAGGAAAACCACCTCATGATGACGTACCTTGAAGGTGATCGGAACATCTGAAGATCTACAAGCGGTTTAGGGTGAATAACTGAGGATGTGCTGTTTGAAATGTTTACGTTTTTTATATTACTATTAAAATCACTGTGTTCACAGTTTTTGACAGCATATATTAAAATGTAGCACTACTGGATCTTTTTTATATGATCAGATGTCTGAAAAAATAAATATCAAATAAATAAATATTGTACCGTGAAGACTTCTTGACGTATTGCAATATTATATATTTGCCATATCGCTCACCTCCAGTAGGAACACCACCTCCTGATTAGTGTTGCGCTGCTAACAGAGCCGCCTCACTGAACGGCTGAGCTGCTTCTTTCAGTAATTGCTCATCTGCTGCTGTGGTCACTCACAGTCTGAGTTAATGGAACTGAGAGAGCCGGACGAACTGCTGGACTCTCGGTGCAATGATGGCCTTAAGACTTGATTTAGCCTTTAGCATAGCAGCCCGCTAGACGGGCCTTTGTGTCCACCAGCCCCACCTGTGGTCCGCCACCATCGGTCAACTGTATCCCTCAGCAGCGGGGTCTCGCGGTCCGTCGCTTCAACCAAGCCAGAAAAAACAAAGGCGATATTTACCGAACTGCCGCTCAGAGATACAGTGCGAGTGAACAAGACGCACATTTGAGACGAATGAGTTGAGAAATTCAGCTATGAAACAACATTCAGCTCCGCCTTTCAGCCAGAGAAGCTGCTGTGTGTTGATGCGTTCACACCACAGGTTTATCCAGGGTTTAGTTCTGTTTTTTACTGTTTTACACAATAAAGATATTTTACATTTACCTAAGCTGTTATCCACGCTTCATATCACTAATTATATAATAGTAAACACTAAACATACACTAAACAAACAAAAATACGTTTTCTTAAGCATCTAATAAATATAATCGAACAAGTGCGTGCCATCTAGCCAAGCTGAGTGTGTTTCATTTGTGAGGCAGAACATAGATTTTACCAAAATATTTAAAAAATGTTTCACTGTATGAATATCAGGAGTCATATGCGAGTTAGGTAAGACAGAGTTATTGTCGGTATCGGCCGATACTAAAGGACCATGTATCGCTATCAGTGCGAATAACTGAAGACATAGTGTGTGAAATGTTTGTACCAGGAGGCCAGTCATATTTGCATAATGCATGCTGGGTACTGTATTAAGGGAACAGGTGAATTCTGTCAAACTGGTGAGGATGAGGGACGCAGAACATGACTAATAATGTTAAACTTAAGAGAACGACAGCCTGATGCAATATGATGTGTGTATTGTTAAACCCAAACTGTGGACGCTGCACAGTCCAACTGAGTCTGGTCACCTGTACGGTCAGAAAGCACACAGCGGTAACTTCACTGCTCTTCTGACCGTCTCTCTCATTCAAAGCAGGTCATATGATGTTAAGCACTGACCTGACTGTGTCAATGAACCGTTTGACTTTGATCACTGAATAAATTATCTACTGAATCCCCTGTGGGAGGAACAACAACAACCACCTGGTGTCGATCCAGAGTCTAAAACATGAATGAATCATGTTTGGGGGTGGGAGGGGGTGGATTAATGAGCAGCATACAGTAAAAAAAGCTTTGCTCAATACCTATAACAACGTCCAACATGGGGCCTAACAGGGCTGGGCAATATGACAATGTTTACCATTATTGTGATAAATTACATCACAATATGTTTTTCTGAGTGTATCGAGGAAAGCGCCAGTACTTAACACCTCCCAACTGCATGGTTTATCACAGAGTCCTGTTTAAGTGGATTTAGTGCAGCTTAGTGTGTGAAATGTTGAATACAATCACTGAATTTAATTTTTTGACAGAATTATTTAACCCCTTGTTATATTCAGCAATAATGTTCCTGAGTCAAACTGACCCAATGCATGTTTAATAGAGCTGAAAGGTTAATAGTTTGTATATCAAATCACAATTTTTATTAACAATGACGTCTTAATTGGGGAACTTCAACCCAAATAACGAACCGCTGGACTCTCGGCACAATGATGGCCTTAAGCCTTGATTTAGCCTTTAGCATAACAGTCCGCTAGACGGGCCTGTGTGTCCACTAGCCCCACCTGTGGTCTGCCACCATCGGTCAGCTGTATCATTCAGCAGCGGGGTCTCGCGGTCTGTCGCTTCAACCAAGCCAGAAAAAACAAAGTCGCTGATACTGACAGAAGACGGTGATATTTACCGAACTGATGCTCAGAGATACAGTGCGAGTGAACAAGACGCACAACCCAATAGAGCTTATAAACTGCCCGTAGGTGACTTAGACCAATCAGAAGCAACCAAACAACTATATATTGTGACATCACAACCAAATGTGGCAGACCGGCATGTTCAGTGTTCAAGTCTTAAGCCAGAAACAGTGGATGTTCCAGATTTCTGGGCCAAAATAACAGGCCTGGACAATTTACAGAAAATAATCCCAATTTAAATCGCAGTCGTAAATTTGATTAGGAAAATCGCAATCAGATATTTCTCCCAAGTTTTTCAAGTTTTTCCATCCCTTCCGATCACTGCTTACTTATAACAGTTCACTGTTTTTCCATTTAAAATAATGTTCAAACTGTTTTTTTTCTGCAAACTAAACATTTAACACATTTGTTTAGACCTTTTCAACCTGTTTGACATGTTCCGTCATGGAACACGTTGAGTAATACAAAAGAAAACATTTCTTCTGTTGCGGGTCAAACTGACCGTTTCAATTCAGATCACACTAATTGATCCATAAGTTCAGCAAAAAAAATATTAAAAATATGTTTCCTGTATTTTCAAACATTAAAAAGTGACCCGCGACAAAAAAGGAGGGTTAAATGAGGCACTACTTTGTCTGTTCAAACTTACCCAATGTCAGAAATATTAAATATAATAAATAAACATTGTGACATTGTGTACCGTGAAAACATTTTTTCCATACTGTCCAGCTTTAGGGCCTTTATTCTGGATCATATCTGTATGTAGCCCTGCAATTTCACAATAATACCACAACGTGACTTCCCACCAAAGCAGTACAGCACATTTAGTTCCCTTATTCTCTCAATATGACTTATTAAAGTGACCTTAACCTTGACCTCTCTGATTCAGCTGCTCTGACCTTACAGTGAAACCACATTCTTAAAAAAATATGTTTAGTAAAAACAACGGTTCCACAAAGCACCATGAACATTTAAAGAACCATGTGCATGCTTAAATGGTTCTTTGCACAGTGAAACGGTTCTTCAGATGGAAAATGCGTTGTAGATATATAGTTCAACACAGAACCTTTTTGAAAAGGGGTTCTGCTATTGTTATGATGTACACAATACAAGAACCCTTTTTGGTTCTATACAGATTCACCATGCAAGTGTCCTTACTAAAGAACCCTGAAAGAACCATCCTTTTAAAAGTGTTTACAGTGTGTCTAATTATTAAGCCACCTAATTCACTTATCTTATCCAGAGCTATGTAAGATATCTGAGCATAATTTCTATAAAGATGTCGATAACCAAACCATCTGCTGTCCCCAATAACAACAAGTGTCTCACACATTAATTTCATGACTAATAAACAGACATAATCTGAAATATCTTTTGGATGCGGGTGAGTTTCATGCCAGACAAATACACGTCGACTGTAAGTTACATTAGATTTAACGAGCATCTGTTACTCAGAGAAGCTAAATAACAGGAGACAGCCAGTGTATTCAGCTCGATAACAACTACAACTGTGGATTTAATTCGTTTTCTTAGCAGTGGTCCTACTTTCTGGGGCAAATTAACTAATTCTGAGTACAACAAAGCACGAAAATAGTAAATTAATCCCCAGCATATGTGTATTTCCCGACGAGGCTGAAGTTGGCTTGCTATTCGCCAGCTTCTGGTTCGAATTTATCCGTTCCACCTTAAACGGTGCAGTAGTTACATTCTGGCGGCTGAGGCTCCTGAACGCAACTGCTGCGCTATTTAAGGTGGAACGGGGAAATTGGAACAAGAAGCTGGCGAATGATTTCACGTTAGCTACAAGGCTAGCTGGGCTGACTACGCGTTTTATTTTGACAAGACTCTCGTTTATTTCAGGCGACATCGCTGGTAAAACCGGGAAAATCAGTACTTTAAACAGTACAAACATTTTAACAGCCGCTCGACTCTGCGGTCTGTCTAAATAGCATGTTAGCTACAGCTAACGTTAGCCGGCTGACACAGCGTTAGCTCCTCGCTGAAGCTGATGAAGCTTTAACTCACACTGCCTCCGTCTTTTATGATGATTTTCTTGGCCAGAAGAATGCTGCGGTTCAGCCGCTTCTTCTTCTTTTTCTCTCCAGTCATCGTTAACTTATATCCATTCTTGTAGCCCGAAGGTTTTGGGGGGTTTAGCTTAGCCGGCTAAGCGCTGGGCCTCCCTTAGCTTCGCCGCTAAACGACTTTTCTCCTCCTCATGCAAATTCACTCGCTTGTTATGCACAGCGCCGCCCTCCGATTGGCCCGCTCCGGGAGGAAGAGGCTCGCCGGCGCGATCCGATTGGTCGCAAGGCATCGCCCCAAAGCGTTACTCATTAGCATAATATGGTACACAAAACAAACAAAAAAAATAACAGACTTTTATCGTTGCTGCTAACGGGCGATCTCGTTAAAACTTTCTCCACACTACATTTTTAAACTTTACATACTCTATATGTCCACTTTACGTACATTTTATAAATGTTAATAATAATGCTAGGGTACGGTACCATGGAGCCCCTTAGGTGACAAGATGATTATGTTTTAATAAGGTGTGGCCACGAGTTATTATATTGAACCCACGAGGTAAGTTTCTCACAACTTGTGGCCTCAACAGGGTAAATCGTGGCCTTAATGTAGTATTTTAGCTCCAATATAGTAACTCGTGGCTTCAATATAGTAAATCATATCTTTACGATAGTAAATTATGGCCTGAGTATTGTAACTCGTTGCCTCAATATAGTAATTTGTGATCTCAGTATAGTAACTAATGGTCTCAATAAAGTAATTTGTGGTCTCAGTATAGTAACTTGTGGCCTCAGTAGTTTAATTTGTGACCTCAATATAGGTGGTAAATTGTTGCCTCAATATAGGTATTCATGACCTCAATATAGTAACTCATGGCCTAAATATAGTATTTTTTGGCCTCAATGTAGCAATTCGTGGCCTCGGTATAGTAACTCATGGACTCAATATAGTAGTTTGTGGCCTCAATATAGTAACTCATGGCCTAAATATAGTAGTTTGTGGCCTCAATGTAGCAATTTGTGGCCCCAGTATAGTAACTCATGGCCTCAATATAGTAATTTGTGGCCTCAGTATAGTAACTTATGGCCTCAATATAGTAATGTTTGGCCTCAATATAGTAACTCATGGCCTAAATATAGTAATTTGTGGCCTCAATGTAGCAAATTGTGGCTTCAATATAGTAACTCGCGGCCTCATTATAGTAAATCGTGGCCTCAGTGTCGTAACTTGTGGCCTCAATATAGTATTATTATTATTCTTATTATTATACGTTATTATTCATGACCTCAGTATAGTAATTTGTAGCCTCAAAATGTTAATTCATGACCTCAATATAGTAACTTGTGGCCTCAATATATTACTACAAGGCCTGTGGGGCGGATACCTGAGGGCGGACTGTTTAAGTTCTTTTTGTGAGGGTTTGTTTTGCTAGCGAATGCAGAACATCATGTTTGTAGTTGTGAACTTTTACATCAGTGACTGTTCACTGTGACTGTATGACCTGTTTGTGTAATGCATGCTGGGTAATGTAGTGAGAGAACATTGATGAATGAAAATGCAAAAAGGATACAAAATCATTCAATCGGACACTGTAAAATATGCATGAAATTGAACTGTTTAGTGAGATTCAATTATTTAAAGAAAAAAAATCATTTAAAAAATGTCACTGTTCTGACATTTCATAATTATTGGCACCCCCGCATTTGGTGCTTTTTGCCCTCTGTTTGCCATGAAAACTGTGAGCAGTCTTCTCCCACAAAGCTGAACGATCTCCTCAGATCCTTCAGGGTTTCTTTGGTCCTCTCTTCTTCATACCGCCACGTTTTCAGTCTTTCCTAATGAGCAACTCTGTCTATTTTTAATCAAAATTCCATCAAAATGGACTTTCACCCACGTCTAAAACATCTTCTGATTTTTAATACCTCTGTGTGCACCAGTGGGTGGGGCAAAGTTATATTAATGGGGAATTCCACCAATTTGTTAATATTTCTAAGATGTAATCAAAGAGGTTCACAGTGGTTTGGTGTGAAACGCTCTGTTCTAGATAAACTTACTGAGTCAGAACTGTTCACAGTGGTGGTGATAGGAACCAGACGTCCTCCTCTAAAAGCTCCCTCACAGAAAGTTCCTACATGAAATGGTTATGAATTCACTGCCTGATGACTGAGACACTGTTTTATGATAGTTTAGAGAACTTAAACTCCATCCATGGTGGAGGGATACATGCAGGGCGCTGTGAGGCAAAATAGTCCCCAAAGAAAACTTATTATTTCAGATTTTCCACTATTTTCATCATCAACATTCCATATAAACTCAGAAGACTCGTGTAGGTTCACTGGTGGTTCTGGATAGTAAATAAAATGTCTATATTTGTGTTGTAGTCATGGCGACCCCTGGTTCCTATCACCACCACTGTAAAGACATCTGAACCGTTTCACACCAAACCACTCTGAGTCACTCTGATTAATTTTAACCACTGAATTACTCAGAAATTTAGAAAGTTCAGTGGAATTCCCCTTTAAATGACTACAAAAGTGAAGCAGCATCTGCTTCACTTGACTGAAGAGTCGGCTTTCTTCATTTTTCATTCTATTAGTCTGAACAGCTGTAAACAATAAAGCTTTTATAGCTTTTAAAGTCTATAAAACACCTCATTCATTTGAATGACGCAGATGAGATTGTGGCAGTTTGGTTTTATTTCCCACAAAACAACAAAAAGCAACTTTTCTGGGTGACAGGATCACTGTTTTAATGAAACATCAGCACATTAATGGTCATCCACTTCAAACATGAACGGCAGGTCGCGCAGAAGAGGCTCCGGGTTAAATCATTAAGTGAGAACATTCGGTATTAACAAACGGGAACATGACTATCTATTATCTACTATCAGAGATTAAGAACTAACGACGCAGACTTCAGAACATTTCAAGCATGCATGCAGAGCAGAGCCTATAAACAGGTGACTTACAATCACAGCTTTAAAAAATACAGCTATTTACAATAATTTGAATACGTAAATAATGTGACAGTGTGCCTGAGAACACAGGCTGTGATGCAGGAATCTACTAAAGTCTCTAATCATCTCGTAATTATTTTATAAATGGACTTTTTTCACATCTATGTACAGTATTGTTTCCCTGATTCGCAGTTTGGCTCCAAGACCAGCGACTGCAATTATTGTAATGCTGCAAAAATGCCTCGTGTCTGATCTGCATCTCTCCCACGTGCTTCCCTTTTCACTGAAGAGGGAACAAAATAAGGTGAATATTAAGGCAGTAAGTCCATTCGTCGATAATACAGGTTACATTATTATATTCTGAATACAGTCCATGCTTGTTTAGTGGGAGTTAGTAAAGACACAGTGTTAAACTAAGAAAGGCAAGTATTACAAAATCCCCTGATTCTGCGATCTGCTTACAAAATCTATGATTGCAAAATGGTGCACTGTTACACGGCTTCCCCCAACGCAACCTGACTTCAAATGGCCTTCTCGCTTTCCCCCGACAGCGCCACCTAGGGTAAAACAGATGCAATGTGATTTTCTATCCTTATATTACTTTAGCAGGAGCATGGCTTCTCCTTTAAGGCCCCATATCCTGCATTTCTCCCATGTTTAAACGTCCTGTTTTATATGTCGATCCACTTCTAATGTTTTGTGTGAGTTTTTGTACCCAAAAACAGTCGTAACTCATTTTTACGGCGATCTTTTTTAGAAAATAAACAGGCTGTTTCTGTTACTGCACCTTTATATACAGTCTTATTGTTAAGTAAACACATCCTCTACTTAAATATGACATTTCTAGCTAATTTTAGTGCACAATTTCTATTTACTTTAATGCTGAGGTAAACATACTGGAAAAAAATGAAGCAAAATGTGTAAAATTCATATTTTATGCTTTAGTTTTTCTCCCAAATTTGTTAAAACCAGTAAACAGTAGTTGTGCATTAAAATGTGCTGATGTGTGTCTCTGTAGAAGATGGGTTCACTTATTTTTGCACAGAAAATCAACAACATGCACAAAAACATTTGACTGGGGGGCCTAAACTTTTGCAGAAGACTATATGTAAATGAGCTCCACTCTGATTGGTTGCCCTGTTGGGAAGTGGTCCTAATGACGTCAGTGTGAAACTGAAAACAGGCAGCTTAGTTTCTATATATGATGGTCCATTTTGATACTTTAGGAATATGTATAATTTAAGAAACAGTGAGAAAGTTCAGTTTTCCACTGAATCGGCCCTTTAAGGCTCAGTGTTAGTACTCTGGGTTAAAGATCCTCGTCTATGAACGGGATGTCAAGGTCGGAGAAGTTCCCGCTGATTTTGGAGCTTGAATCCTGCTTAATTGCAGAGTGGACAGACGATAGCGGCCGGACTCGGCTCTGGTCGGCAGACGTGAAGCGCTCTCCCTGTCCGTGTTCTTGCTTCTCCTCTTCGGTGTCCATCCTGCTCGTTTCCGAAGGTCCCTCTGGCCTCCCGCTCTGTAAAGCCGCGCTCTTCTGGCCTGAAATAGAAACTTTAGATTAGGCACGTGGGACCTGGACACAGCTGGACTCCCACGCTTTCTTTCCAAATCTGGCCTTAGAGCTCCTCAGGCAAACACGAGCTGGGCGGAAAAAACTGCAAGCAGGCACCACAAACATGGGCAGAGCAGCAGAACAGAGTTACTACAGCATGAAACCACTAATAAAAGACCCCTGTAAAGGAACAGTTTCACAAAAACATCATATTTACACTATTTTTCCCCCAAAAGCCAAGAAACGTTCGGTGTCTGAAGTTGCTTTAGTTTCACGTTGTAGCTAACAAGTAATGGGAGCTTGGTGAGGGAAAGTGCAAACCTGCGCCATCTGCTGGCTGAGTTTAAAATACACTATATGGCCAAAAGTATGTAGACACCCCTCCTAAAAGGCCTTTTTCACATGTTCACATTTTCTGCTGGGAGTTCTCGTTGCAGGGTGACGCTGCTTCCACTAAAACAACGACAATAACAACAACGAGTGGAGCGTGTACGGCTCCCTCCAGTGTTCGAGCTTGAAGCAAAAACAGCCTCATCTCAGTTTCAGTGGTTTGTCAGCTGATGATGAGCAGAGAAAACGAGTTTGTGTGATTAATAAAGGAATAAACTTCATCATACAGAGTAAAAGAGCCTCTGTGTCTGTGTTTCAGCGCTGCTGACTGACATTAACGTGCAGTTTGTGCTGTAAAGTTGCTGCTTCAGCCGCTTTCAGAGGAACAGTTTTCATTTCCTCCCTCTAAAGCTGTCGGTATCTGAGAGAGCGAGAGCTCAGCAGGGAGCAGATGTTCGTTCACTGGAGCCGGTGTTTGTGGAAAACTTCTACAGTGGCACTATAGATCGTGATGACCCAACGCGCCCCCTGCTGGCATGTGTGCGTGTTTAGCTTTTTGCAAACTAGCTAACTATCTCCAGCTAACATGGCTAATGTAGCGTTTTGGTTATAGTTATTTTCACCTCCACTGATTTATCTCTCTGTAGACGTAGCTGACGTTACTGTGCTCTGACAGCTGTGAAGGAAATTTTCCACAAAGCATTTATTTAGTCTGGACTCCCACATTGTTGTGTGTTCGGTTCTCCAACAGTTCTGGACTCATTCTCGAATTCCAATCTTGGCGACTTTGACAAAGATAAAGTGACTCACCTTTCTGTGTTGAGCTGAAGTGATACGAGTGCCTGTATTTCTGAGGTCAGTAACTGTCCGTAAGACAATAGTGGAACTTTTCTACCCAGCATTTACGCACTTTTTTCACAATTCTTGTGAAAAGGGCCTATTACTGAGTTCAGGTGTTTCAGCCACGCCCATTGCTAACAGGTGTATAAAATCAAGCAGACAGCCATGCATTAAGAGCTCAGAGACTGTAAATGTGGCGCTGTTATTGGACGCCACAAGTCAGTTTGTAAAGTTTCTGCCCCGCGAGATCTGCCCCGCGAGATCTGCCCCAGACAACAAAAAAAGCTCAGCCACGAAGCTACCCAGGAGAACCATCTTTTTTAAGTGTGCATCAATCTGAAGAACCCTTTCAGGATGCAGAGAACCCTTTAATCATGCAAAGGGTTCTTTCAGTGTTCATAGTTCTATATAGAACCAGCTTCTTCACTGAAGAGCCCTTGAAGAACCATATTTTTAAGTGTGCATCAATCTAAAGAACCCTTTCAGGATGCAGAGAACCCTTTAATCATGCAAAGGGTTCTTTCAGTGTTCATAGTTCTATATAGAACCAGCTTCTTCACTAAAGAGCCCTTGAAGAACCATCTTTTTAAGTGTGCAGTAATCTGAAGAACCCTTTCAAGATACAAAGAACCCTTTAATCATGCAAAGAGTTCTCTGAGTGTTCATGGTTCTATATAGAACCTTTTTGAAAGAATCGGAAAGTTCTATATAGCACCAAAAAGGGTTCTGCTATTGTTAAGACTTGAGCTTGCAACAATAGAAGAACCCTTTTTGGTGCTGTATAGAACTCTTTTTAACGAGGTGCTCTATAGAAACAGCGACAGCACGTTCTCCAGCAGTTTGAAGAACACTTTCATGATGCAAAGAACTCTAATCATGCAAAAGGTTCTCTGAGTGTTCAAGGTTCTACATAGACCCATTTTCTTTACTAAAGAACCCCTGAAGAACCATCTTTTTAGGGTGTATATCTGAATGTGAGTGTAAGGAGAAAACGTTTAATGTAATTAAGTAAATGTATTTGATCTCAGTGATACTGAAGCCCAGAGTCTCTAAAGTAATACTGAAGTTTTACTCCAGTACTTCCACTCCTGCGAACCTCAGACACCAAACATGCCCTGGCTGACCGACTATATCAGCAGGAAAACTGTATGTTCTATTGAATTATACCTTTAATAAAACAACAACTGCAAGAACAGACGAGCGACTCACGGCTGGCGGACCCCCCGGGCAGCAGCGCAGCAGCCTCCTTCCTTTCTACAGCATGCAGCCCACATGCATGAAACAATGAAACTGTCTGTACCTGTCACTGACCTTCCAAGACCGGGCTTAAAAAGTGGTCCTCCAGTGAGCTCTCCAAGCTGATCATGGACTCCGTGTCCAGCGTCTCGTTGTCTGAAGCGTCCTGGTCGAGCTCGGGCAGCCTGCGGGCCAGATTAACCCTGAAACAGACAGAAAAAGTGAAAGAGGTCACCAGAGGACGAGCACTGTCTGAAACGTACCTCTCCTGCGCCTTATTCTGAACTTTCAACCCACGCGTGTGAAGAGACAGAGTCGTTTGCAGAATTTCACACTTTATTGATTTTCTATGTGAAAAAATCCTCTGTACACTGTTAGAAATAAAGGTTCTGTTCAGGTCCATTTTTCGTTCCTCAAGGTACAAACAGTGTAAATGTTCCCTCAAAGCTCCAACAGTGGTTCTAAGGTCTGATTGTGAACCTTAAATAAGTTTTTCCAGGTGAAAAGTTCGTATTTGTACCTTTTCATAACCGAATGTTTTAAACAGAACAGTAAAATAAAAGCCTGGAGACGAGACGGGGTGTGTGGAGTCAGTACAGCTTAGAACATATCATTTCAGTGGATTATGGTTCAGTTATGTTCCCTGACTAAAGGTACTGAGATGGAGCCTTGAGGGTTCCACCCCAGTTACTAGAGGGGCACTGACCCAGTAACAGTTTAATACCTTTATTTTTGAGGGTGTAGGGAGAAAAATAAAGCTGTTTGTAAATTTTAGTGTTATTTATTACCGTACATACAACATGTATAAAAAAAAGATAAATTAAAGATAAGAAAAATGAACTGTATCCTTCACAAAAATGAACAATATAAACATTATAAATAAAAAGCAAAAGATCTTTACACTATCAGGATATTTACAAGTATTGTACATGGAATACTTAATACAAAGTATAGCAATGTAAAGCTGTCCTTTACATTGTGGGACCATTTCAGGATGAATGGACCAATAGAAATGCTCCAAAATCACTCAGAATGAAACCTCTTTACATTTACCTTAAGAGTGTTTTTGTCCTCGCCTGTGAAGTTACTATTTTGGAGATACTCATTTTCTTTGGACAGCGGCCGTACAAAAAACTCACTTCATGTTAAACTCAGTAAATAAACAGTATGTGTGTATTAAAATGTACAGAAGTGTGTCTCTGTAGAGGATGAGTAACTTATTTACACTCAGAGAATCAACGACAACATACTATTTGGTCAGGGGAGCACAAACTTTTGCACACAACCGTATTTCATCATGATTTATCGTAGAAAAGGAGAAGTGACTCTACTTACTTCACCTGCTTTATAGATCTAATCCGCTCTCTCAGGGTCTTCTCCGCCTCTGTGTCTGAACCGTCCATGGGAGACGAGTCCAGTTCACTCATCGGGTTCTCCAGAATCTGGAACGCATCACACAAAAGGAACGATCAGCGAGTTACAGCACTGACCGTCTACAATTCACTCAGATTTTCTATCGCTTTTATACAACAGCTTTGCAAAGTAAAGGAAAAAACAGCTAAAAATTCCCAACTTGAATTTCTTCCGCCAAAAAAAGTAGTTCCATTTATCCGCTGCTTCTGCTAGTAACAATACCTACGCTGACGAGTGGAGCGTGTACGGCTCACTCAAGCAAAAACAGCCTCATCTCAGTTTCAGTGGTTTGTCAGCTGATGATGAGCAGAGAAAACGAGTTTGTGTGATTAATAAAGGAATAAACTTCGTCATACAGAGTCAAAGAGCCTCTGTGTCTGTGTTTCAGCGCTGCTGACTGACGTTAGCGTGCAGTTTGTGCTGTAAAGTTGCTGCTTCAGCCGCTTTCAGAGGAACAGTTTTCATTTCCTCCCTCTAAAGCTGTCGGTATCTGAGAGAGCGAGAGCTCAGCAGGGAGCAGATGTTCGTTCTGTGTTTGTGTAAAACGTCCACAGTAGCACCACGGACCCTGACGACCCGGCGCGCCCCCTGCTGGTGTGTGTGTGTTTAGCCTTTTGCTAACTAGTTTACTGCCATCGAGCTGTTTCAACATCTCTAGCTAACATGGCAAATCCAGCGTTTTGGTTATAGTTATTTTCACCTCCATCTATTTATCTCTCTTTTTCCACAAAGCATTTATATCCTTTATTTAGTCTGGACTCCACATTGTTGTGTGTTTGGTTCTCCAACAGTTTTGGACACGTCCTCGAATTCTAATCTTGGCGACTATGACAAAGACAGTGAGACACCTTTCTGTGGTGGCTGAAGTGATACAAACACCTGTATTTCTGAGGTCGGTAACTGTCTGTAAGGCAGTAGCGGAACCCATTTTATCCAGTGTTTACGCACTTCTGTTTCTTGTGAAAAGGGCCTATTGTCATTATTATTATTATTATTATTATTATTATAATAATAACTTTGTCATGCTCAAGGTTGTTTATGAGACCCATGCTACATGGAAATGTCGCAGGAAAGTAAGGCTACTATTAAACTTCAACATTAATTATATAACAACTCCAGATACTCAAACTGCAGCCTAAAAATGCCAAACAGCTACATTTGTGTACAAACGTGCAGCAGTCTTAGTCAGTACATAGCAATATTTGTATTTCGGCTCCATAATGACTTCATATTCTAGAGCATTCGGTGACATTCGGGGGTAAAATGTGCGTATGGCAAATCGGCTTTGGATCATTTTTGTTCTCTTCAGGACGTGAGAGCAACGATTTTTTAGAACTGCTTTAATTTTTTCCATAAACAAAACCAGCTTAAACCCGGAACGCCTAATATGGGCATACGGTCAACTACAGACGCGTCTTCAGAGGGTTCTTACACCATCAAGGCTCCTGCAAAGCAATGTTGTCAATGTTAAACGCAGAAGAGCAGCTAAAACTCTCTTCTCAAGAATGTTTCTCATCGTCTTTGTGATCCTCTTGTCTTTTATTTTAATCTATTTATGTCCTTCACGTTATCTGTGGTTCTGTTCCACTGTAAGGGTTCTCTGACCGTGTTCTTCCTCTGCAGTGTGAGCTGTTTGATGGCCAGTGCCTCGGCGTGCTCCAGCTGCTGGATCTCCTTCATCTTCTCCTCGTACCGTTTGGTCTGCTCCATAATCAGAATCTCCAAACACCTGTCAATCATCAGAGCACACAGACTGCATTGTAGTATACATACATACACACCACACAAGGCAGGTGAGGCAGGGCCAGGTGAGGCAGGGCAAGGTGTGAGACAGGGCCAGATGAGGCAGTGCAAGGTGTGAGGCAGAGTTAGGTGAGTCAGGGGCAGGTGAGACATGGGCACTTGAGATAGGACTAGGTGAAACATGGTTAGGTGAGACAGGGCCAGGTAAGGTAGAGGCAGGTGAGACAGGGTAAGGTGAGATAGCGTGAGGTGAGACAGGGGCAGGTGAAGTAGTGGCAGATGAGACAGGTTATTATGAATGAGGGTATATGAAGCTCAGAGTCTGGTCCTGGGCAGGTCCTTCATGCCTGTTTTTGAACTATTACCATTATTATAATTCATTAATAACAATACCATTATATATATTGTTACTAATATTATATTATGTACTAATAACATTATTACTCACAGCGTGGTCCTGG